GAATCTGGAGGAAGAGACAAGGAAGCGGTCCGAGAGTCCCACACAAGGCCCAGGCAGGTCCGAACCTGGGCGGGAACCAGACGGGACTTCCTCCAATTCACCAAGAACCCGAACCCGGTGAGCTGAGGAAGAACCAGATCCCTGGCCGACAGATAAGTGAACTGGCTGGAAGCCCAAACCAGCCAGTCGTTGAGGTAGGTCAACACCTAACAGACGCAGACGACCCACATGAGGCGCGTGAAAACGCGAGGTGCAAGGTTCAAACCAAATGAAAGACAACGAAAGTGGTAAGCACGAAGCCCCACAACAAAACCAAGCCAGCCCCTGAACCCCAGATGAATCAGGATGTGCCAAGAAGCATCCTGGAGGTCCAGGCACACCATCCAAGCGCCCGGCTCCAACTGGAGCCGAACCTGGGACAGTGTGGTCATCCGAAAGGAAGGGCAATGAACCCAGGGGTCCGTGCAGTCCCGGGAAACAGACGGGAAACCCATCTGAGGGACGTCGTCGGTTCGACCACGCCCAAGCGAACCCACTCCAAGATGACCTGACAGAGCGCAGGGGAAGAACCACACTGCGCCGTACTGTAACTGGCCGTACACTGAATGACAGACTTAAAGAACACAAGAGAAGTGTTAAGTCTGCAGACACTAACAATGCTCTCTTCTGCCATGTGAGGGATTCTAATCATCCCATTGATTGGTCTTCCTCCAAAATAATCTTTCCTGCCTCTACTCTACACAGACGCTGTCTTGTAGAATCGGCTCTTATACACAAAGTACCCAACATGAACTTGAGTCTTGGCTTTGTTGCTGTGGACTCTTCCCTTTCACAGTATATACTCAAATGCTCTAATCTTTCAAACAAACATGACTTAACATAAGCTTACCCCTTCCATTTATCTTTTTTTCTCTTTCCTTTTCTTTCTCTCTTCTCCCTTTTTCTGTGCATTGTCTTCTCCTACGCTCCCTTGCTATCCTCTTCTTATTCCTATTACTTCCCCTTCGGTGGTTATAATAGGAGCTGCCTCGTATGGGCCAATAGGCCTTCTGCAGTTCTCATTATTACTACTATCCCCCTACACCTTACTTTCCTCCTCAGCTCTCTCTTGCCTATTTATTGCCTGTCCCTACCTATCCTCATCTCAATCGACTTGAGAATGGTCCAGGACGGACCGAAACGTCGTCGTCCCTTCAACTTCTAGTGTGTGGTCTGGTCAACAGGGGAAGAAGCCTGCCCCGTCAACCCCAAACACCCCGCAGGGGTAGGGGCCACCCAACATTACCGGAGGCCATGCAAAACGACCCAAAACACACACAAATCATGGGACCAGGCGTGAGCGAACAGCGCAAGCCTCACCCCCATCGCCCCGTCAATGGGGTGAACTGGGAAAGTGTCGGCACCCCTTCGAGACCCAGAACCTCACACAGAGCGAACACCGTGCCGACCTGGCGAAGGTGGGTCCAGAGGAGAAGCCGAACCCGAACTTGACACCAGTGGCCTACCACGACGAGAGGAACCCCGAGCCTTAGCACGAGGCTCCGTGGTGGACCAGCAAGTCCAACATAGGACAGCAAGGAGCCGAAGCAACCTAAATATACTGCGCAACGGCGGAAGCCTCAAACAAGAGAGGGCAAAAAGTGGAAGACATCCTAAGAGCCAAGGCCCAAGCGGAACCTACAGAGGAGGCAAGCATCATCTGCCGACACGCGAGCCGGGAGGCATAAAACAGAGCCACCACATCCCGCAAGATCAGCGTGAAAAGCTTCAGCAAGGCAGCAGACGAGCGAGCCACCAGGCCAAGGCGCCAGACCCAGGAACCCAAGCGCCCCCACATCCTCCGTGTGCCAGTTGGAAGACAGCTTCAGGAGGAAAAAGAAGTGCAAGGCAGCAACCAAAAAACCCCGAGCAAGCAAGTCCTCCGCCATCTGCGCCGCCAAAAGGGAGGGAACTTGCACATGGAGCTGAATAGCACCAACATCCCAGGGAAGGGCAGGAGCAAACAAGCACTCATTAAGGTGCTCAAGCTCGCCCCCCAGGAAAACCTGAAGCACCGTCGAAGCTTCCCGCCACTCAAGCGTGCGGGAATGGCAGAAGGAGTGGCAAGCCTCCAAGGTAAAGACTGGACAGTCCGCCAGCCACGACGACTCCAAACCTCGTAACGAAACCAGTAAGGGAACGAAATCCCAAACCTGAAAGCCGAGGGATCCATTGCCGAGGCATAATCCGGGTCACACAGGAGGTTTGCCTCAAGGGCCGCCCGCACCGCAGCAGGTTGAATGCGATAAGCCGAAAACCTCTGGAAAGACGGAACCGAAGCGCCCGAGAGAACATGGAACCGAACCAGGGAAGGGGCAGACACCAAGTCCAACAAGACACCAATGAGAAGGGAAAAGAAAACCCTACTCCTTGTAACAATAAGCCTCGCTCAGAGAGTAGAAAAACCCAGGCGGGGTCCAGCGGGACCCAAGGCCCCCAAGTCAGCCCCTCAGCAGCCCCTGGGTCCTTCTCCGCAGGACCCGGGGCAGAGTCCTCCCCCCAAGCATCGTTCCAACTAGACAAGGCAGGCCAAGCTGTAGAAGCTGGATAGCATGAGGCCCACAGGTCAGACCCAGAGCTTTGGCTGGGGAAGGAGATTCCAATGCCTCCGTCGCCACACCGGAAGGGGCATCCCCTGAGGCTGCCGGAGTCTCAAGACCAACTAATCCCTGCCCCTTCTCCGAAACCCTCGGACGTTTCAGGGCCGGAAGCAGGGGAGGGGGACCAGAACAAACAACAAGAGGGGAAAGACCAGGAGGTGCGGACTGAACCTGGGTCGAAGCGACTGCCACCCCAAAGTCCGGGTTCCTATAAGCAAAACGGGGCAGCCACGGGGCATCCGGGTGAGCAACCAACCGAGCGCGTTGCAACAACCGAAATCTAGAATGCAACGCCTGCACAGCCTGTACCCGAAGATGATCACCCACAGATTGGGTAAATTGAGTCACCAGCAAGCAAGAATACTCATAGGACTCAGGGTCGTAAAGTGTCACCGACCCAACAGGCTGCGTGACGGAGGCAAAGACAGTGAGGGTTGTCCTGAGAAAAGGAGACGGAACAACGCTCAAACTCGCAAAGAAGCGAGGGGGGGACCCCGGGGTCACATCCATCGGACCCACGTGTCCCCTAGGGGATTTCCAGGGTCCTGAGCGTTTACTTGAAGAGGACTCGCACTCAGGTAAACCCAGGCAGGGTGGTTATCTTGAGTTATCTTGAGATGATTTCAGGGCTTTTTAGTGTCCCCGCGGCCCGGTCCTCGACCAGGCCTCCACCCCCAGGAAGCAGCCCGTGACAGCTGACTAACACCCAGGTACCTATTTTACTGCTAGGTAACAGGGGCATAGGGTGAAAGAAACTCTGTCCATTGTTTCTCGCCGGCGCCTGGGATCGAACCCAGGACCACAGGATCACAAGTCCAGCGTGCTGTCCGCTCTGCCAACTGGCTCCCCACTGCTCCCTAGGGTACTGCTAACTGGCGCCTAAAACTGCCAAGCTGTCTAAAGCTGAACCCCAGGGACGTGTACACTCATGGGGACCAAGAAGGGGGCACCACCAAGTATCAGGGTGAGGCCAAACACCAGTGGCAAAATAGGGCAGAACCCCCCCCCCCCCCATCAAGGCAAAAACATAAAGAAAAACAAAACCCCGTAAGAGGACAACGTACCCCAAGGAACAGAGACGGCCGCTGTGATAGGTGAAAACAAGCTGCGCAGCACCCTGTACCCCTTAGCAGTGCAAAAACTGCCTCTTACCCTAAGGTAAACGAGGGAGACAAAACACCCAAGTACCCAAAGGGCGGCCGAGAAGCCGAGTAGTAAAATGGACACACACAGGCAGACCCCAAGGAACTTGTGGAAGGTAACCCCAAGCTCCAAGGGCAGTACTTACAAGGCACCTAGGGAAGGGAACCTTAGGCGCATGCAGCCTGAGTACTGAGGAATAACTCCTGGCTCTCGCACCCCTGGAGTACAGCCGTGACACACAAGGCACAGCGCCACAAAAAGATTGGAGCCAGAGAACACAACCGAGCCGATAGCATCACCCTCAAGAATTGAGGCATGGATCGCCGGCGTGGTTGGTATGGGGCTACCCCTTCCCCCTCCCGGGAAGAGGGGGGGTGCTGAACAGACATAGGGGCGTTGACAGGTGGCGGTGACAGGTCATACTAATTTGCTCATTTTTGTTTGGGGAGTTCTATCCACTCGTTTGGCTTTTGGTTGCAATTTTCACCAGAATAGGGGTTTGTTTTGGGACGCCTACCTTTCTGGGTGCCTAACCCGGTCGATGGCAGACATAGAATGCTTCCAATTACAAGGGGGTTTCTATAGGCCATTGCTTCCTTTGCTTCTTTAGAGGAGGCCAGGTTCTGGCTCGTGGTCCCCAGAAGACCCATAAGAACTCCATACACATGACTGATGCCAAAGGAAGACTTATCAGCATATCAAAGGAAGACTATAGCATATCAGCCTAGTAAGCTTTGTGGAGCCGAAGAGGCTCCCCCAGAAAATAATTTTTTCAAGATAATTTATTTCCTGCACACTGGGGGGGGGTGTCACATTTGGAAGCAGTTGTGGGGTTAAACTAATGAAACAAAGCTGCCGGAAAAATAAAGGAAAATTCACTTTCGCAAACAGTGGTAGAGGGTTAGAACAAGTTAGGTGAGAAGGTGGTGGAGGCCAAAACCGTCAGTAATTTCAAAGCATTATATGACAAAGAGTGCTGGGGAGACGGGACACCAAGAGCGTACCTCTCATCTTATAACTACACTTAGGTAATTACATTAATTAGGTTACATAATACCATATTCATTCAAACATGTTTCACATATTAACTTGTTCGACTTTTCTTATATTTTAAATTCTATGCCTATCCTTTATGGCAAAGCTTATCTCAGTAATAATACACTGTATAATAGCAACACAATAAATTATTTTCTTATCTGTAAAGTAAATTATTCTTACCAAAAGGTCTGCCTCTCTTGTCTGGCCTTATAGCACCTGCACTGTGCTTGTACCTGGGTGGGCCTTTACACAGCTTCTGGGGAGTGAGTGCTTGTGAACCCTGACCCTTAACCAGTTTGTGCAGTGTCCCTAATAGGTCGTACTCTCCTGCATACTGATGACAAGTTTCAAGTAGATTTGTTGGAACCTGTCAAAAAAGAACACAGGAAATATTGACTCTTGTCAATAGTGTATCAAGTAAAATATTTAATAAGAGCCATACACAGAAAAGATAGCCAATGTTGTTTTATGTTCACAAATCATTTTATTCTTTAGTCATTACATAAACATATATCGCAGTGTATAGGATATTATGCAAATTATAATAATTATTATTACAAAACTAATTTCCAAGCAGTCTCCAAAAATCCAGCGTTGAATGTAATGAAACGCTATTTTCTGGGTGAGCCCCGGAGGCTCCCTGGAGCTTATCGGGCTAATGTATGTTATATTAGACCGGGACATTAGTTAAGGAGTTCAGACCTACCAGGGACCAGCGGCAGAGCCTGGCCCCTTCAGAGAGGTTTCAGGGAGCAATGGTCCTGGAAAACCCCCTTGTGGTTGGGGTTTTCCTTATCTGCCATCGACCAGGGTTAGGCACCCAGAAAGGTGGGCGTAACAAAACAAACCCCACATGGTAAAAAACAAAAACAAAAAAACGAACAGAGAGGTAGAAACTCCCTACAATCCCAAGGAAACAAGCAAACATCACACTTTACTGCCGAGCCGATCATCCGCGCAGCCCTCCCCGCCCCGAGAGGGGGAGGGGGAGGGCTGAGACCCCAGACCTACCGCGCCGGCTGCCTAGCATCAGTTCGGATGAGAAGCTTCAACCAACATGAAAAAACTGCCAACCGGTGGGAGGGAGGGTTGCCAGGGAGCCTCCGGGGCTCACCCAGAAAATTGCGTTTCATTCCATTAAACACTGGTTTCTGTGGGGAGCCCCTACGGCTCCCTGGAGCTTCATACCCAAAGAGAAGGTAAAGAAAGGGCTGACCCGGGAGGTGGCCGCCACAAACTCCGCAACGCAAAGCCGAGACAACAGGCTGCAACCTGCGACTTAAGGCAACAAGAATGCATAAGAGCAGACGCGCATAAAGAATGGGCGGCCAAGAACCTGTGCGACCCTCAAATCCCTGCGCCCAAAATGAGCCCTAGACGTCACCAACACAGCAGCAAAAGTTGCAAACGTCCGAACAGCACGGGCGCAAGGTCAGACCGCATGCTGGAAGACTTAAAAACTCTGAAGACGACCCGGGAGACCCGAGCCATGAAACAGGGAAAGAGGGGAACCGGATCAACCCAAAGCGCATTCCCAGACATGGTACGCAGATAGTGGCTAAAAAGGGCAACCGTGCAACACAGGATGCACCCCTGGCCGAACTAATCAAGCATCAATAACCCAAGAACCCCTCCGGAAACCAACCGTTTCGACCGTCGCAAGAAGGATGGAGAAAGGCTGCAAACGTACAAACCTATCACCAGTACCAAAGAGCACAAACCTGAACCGAAGGGGCTACCACAAACTGAGGAGAAGATAAGAAGGCACCCTGATCAAGGACCAGTACAGTTCAGGCGACGCATGAGCAGACCGGAGGTGATACAAAACACGAGAAAGCGTACGAAACAGGGCAGATGTGACGTCCACCCCGAACGCAAGCCGGAGTAGCTCCGCCAGCGCCGCACAAAACGAGGCGACAGTAAGAAACATAAAAAACTGTAGTCCTGAAAACCCAAGAAAGGACAAGACAACCCGATGCGAAAGAGAAGACAACCTACGAAGAGCAAGAAAAAGTGCATAGAAACACCAGGAACGTCATAGTGTCCCCGAGACGAAGCTCGCAGGTGGGACACCGTCAACAAAGCCACCTGAACACCACAGAGATGGTGATACCCGCGTCAAAATACCAGACGCAAAGAGCCGAGGAGAAGGCTCAACCAGTCACATACAGGACCGATCCGACCTGCCGAAAGAGGCGGAGCCTCGGGAAAACACCCCGGGTTCGGACACCTATCAAGCAGCGTCTGAAAATAAAGCTGGGCTGGCCACCAAGAAACCATAACAACTGCTCTCGTGGGAATGGGCTGCAACCGAGCCAGAACCCGAAGCAACAACTGGACCGGGAGAAGAGGAACGAGTACCCCCACCTTGACCAGTCCTGCCGAAAAGTATCCACGGTGAACGCCTCGCAGGTTGGTAAGTGCGCCACATAAAATGGGCAATGCCTAGACCACGGTGACTCGAAGACGTCCATTGCCAGGAGTCCATACGTCCGGCAGAGCAAAGAAAACGAGTCGGCGACGACTGGCCAATCCGCGAACAGAGGAATGAACCGAGACAGCTGTCCGCCAGGATGCAGGACACACCCTGGACATGAACCTCACGGTTAGCCAAACCCCGAGAATCCAGCAAACGAGCCATTCTAAGGAACCAACCCCAAAGGTCAAATACCTAAGAGAAACCCTGTGGTTCCAGCAAGAACCGCCAGAGAACAGTCCGAACGGAGCTGAATGGTAGAGCACCCAGTGACCCAAACCCTCCGAAGCGCAAACCAGACAGCCACGAACTCCCGAACCGTGCTGTAAGCCAGACAGACAGACAGACTCCATTCCTGGCCGACCTGATGAGCACTGGTCACAAAGCCCCAGCCGAGAGATGACCCGTCCGTGAACACATCGAGCGAAGGCATGGGGAGGTGCCAAGGCACAGAACCCCGAAAACCCCAAAAGGAAGCTGGTGACGCAGCACCAACACAAGATGCCCGGAGGAACGAACCCAACGAATGCAAGAGGCGGAAGGGAAGTCTCCGAAGGAACTAAACAGACGCCGAAGCCAAACCCGACCCCGTGGGCAGACCAGCACGTCAAAGTTTAGACTCCCGCACAACCTCTCAAGCAACCGCTGAGCAATCCGGGACCCCCTCAGGAACAGCCAAAGGCAGGACCACAGCCACAGTAACACTTCTGGAGGGAAAGACACAGAGTGGCCCAATAGCCCTAAACAAGGCCCAGGTTCGAAACCTGGATGGAAATAGATGGAATGGCTTCCAGATCACCAGGAAACCAAACCTGCGATCTGGAAAGAACCACACCCCTGGTGAGCAAACAAGCGGACCGACTGGGAGCCCATACCAGCCAGTCATCGAGGTAGGCCAGACACCGAATCCCAAGCAGACTCAGACAGGGCACCAAGATCCAGTAAAGATGCAAAAATACACCAAGTGCCAATTACAAAATAGGGAAGGCAACAAAAGTGGCAAGCCTGAAGCCCCACCACCAACTGTGCCAGTCCCGGAAAACTGGAGAGGAACATGCCAAGAATTGACCTGGAGGTCCAGGGCCACCAACCAGGCACCCGGCCCCAACAGAAGCCGGACAGGAGACAACAGTCCTCCGAGGAGGGCAAAGAATCCAGGGCGCAGACTGAAGAAGTCCAGAAGAACTGCAGATGCGAAAGGCCCAAGACTGCAAAGAGCAGACGAGAACCCCAGAGGAATGGGGCAGATCGACCACGTCCCGCGCACCCACTAAGATGACATGACGAAGCGCAGGGGAAGAAGCCCACCCCGCCAGCTCTGAACCCCCCCAAAGGAGGAGAAGCCGTCCACTGACGCCACCAGAGGCCGGAAGACAACTAAAAGCGCCCACCAACAGCGGGACCATGCGAGAGTCAACAGAGCAAGCTCCTCCCCCAGCGCCTCATCAACAGAGAAGGGAACAGAGCCCCTTCCGAAAGAAAAAGTACACAGACACACCAAGTTCCTGAGACCTGGAACTTTAAGAACAAGAGGTCATAGATTTAAACTAGCTAAACACAGATGCCAAAGAAATATAAAAAAATTCACTTTCGCAAACAGAGTGGTAGACGGTTGGAACAAGTTAGGTGAGAAGGTGGTGGAGGCAAAGACCGTCAGCAGCTTCAAAGCGTTATATGACAAAAAGTGCTGGGAAGACGGGACACCACGAGCGTAGCTCTCATCCTGTAACTACACTTAGGAAATTACACTTAGGTAATTACATTATGTATATACACATACATATACATATACACATACACACAAGGTATGTTACACACACGTGTGTATACACAAGTGCACACACACACAGCATACACATGCACATGCGTACACACACACAGATGTGTTACTAGATTGTGAGAAAAAACCTAGTAACACATCTGGAGAGAAGAGACTTCGTGACAACCCATCCACATGGATTCAGGGAGGGTAAATCTTGCCTTACAGGCTTGATAGAATTCTATGATCAGGTGACAAAGATTAAGCAAGAAAGAGAAGGATGGGCGGACTGCATTTTTTTGGACTGTCGGAATGCCTTTGACACAGTACCCCATAAAAGGTTGATGCATAAGCTGGAGAAACAGGCAGGAGTAACTGGTAGGGCGCTCCAGTGGATAAGGGAGTACCTAAGCAAGAGGAAGCACAGAGTTACAGTGAGGGGTGAGACCTCAGAATGCCGTGAAGTCACCAGTGGAGTCCCACAGGGCTCTGTACTTGGACCTATCCTGTTTCTGATATATGTAAATGATCTCCCAGAGGGTATAGACTCATTCCTTTCAATGTTTGCTGACGACGCCAAAATTATGAGAAGGATTAAGACAGAGGAGGACAGCTTGAGGCTTCAAGAAGACCTGGACAAGCTGCAGGAATGGTCGAACAAATGGCTGTTAGAGTTTAACAAAAGCAAATGTAATGTAATGAAGATAGGGGTAGGAAGCAGGAGACCAGACACAAGGTAACATTTGGGAGATAAAATACTTCAAGAGTCAGAGAGAGAGAAAGACCTGGGGGTTGATATCATGCCAGACTTGTCCCCTGAAGCTCATATCAAGAAGATAACATCAGCAGCATATGCCAGGTTGGCTAACATAAGAACGGCCTTTAGAAACTTGTGTAAGGAATCTTTCAGAGCATTATATACCACTATGTCAGACCAATCCTGGAGTATGCAGCTCCAGCATGGAGTCCATATCTAATCCAGCATAAGACTAAACTGGAAAAGGTTCAAAGGTTTGCCACCAGACTAGTACCCGAGCTGAGAGGTATGAGCTATGAGGAGAGACTACGGGAATTAAACCTCACTTCGTTGGAAGACAGAAGAGTTAGGGGGGACATGATCACCACATTCAAGATTCTCAAGGGAATCGACAGGGTTGATAAAGACAGGCTATTTAACACAAGGGGCACACGCACTAGGGGACACAGGTGGAAACTGAGTGCCCAAATGAGCCACAGGGATATTAGAAAGAACTTTTTTTAGTGTCAGAGTGGTTGACAAATGGAATGCATTAGGAAGTAATGTGGTGGAGGCTGACTCCATACACAGTTTCAAGTGTAGATATGATAGAGCCCAATTGGCTCAGGAACCTGTACACCTGTTGATTGACGGTTGAGAGGCGGGACCAAAGAGCCAGAGCTCAACCCCAGCAAGCACAACTAGGTGAGTACTAGGTGAATACATACACTTTAAAAGAAAAGTACAAGCTGCCGACCAGTGGGCAGAGAGCACCACACCGGCCTGGCAAAGAAGGCACAAAACTGCATCAAAAGGTCCACCTCGACAACAAAACTGCAAAGTCCCAGCACGACCACAACATGTGCCAAGACCCAAAAGGAGCAGTCTGCAAGCCAAGAAGACCCCGGAACTCCAGAAGGCAGAATCGGGTCACACGAGGAAACAAAGCCCCCTTGAACCCACAAAGGGGGCCCAAGAGGAAGAAACCTCCGGAACGAAACCAAAGAACCCAAAGGAACCCGGAATCAAACCAGGGGGAGCCCCAACCACCACATTTGCTGGCAGAGAAACATCACAGAAAGGCAAAGCACAGCCCCCAGACAGAACCCCCAGACTGTCGACCCTGTTGAGGATCCCAGGGAAACGGTCATAATAGACCGAAAACCAAGGGACAAGGTGTGGTAGCAAGCATAACAGACAGGGACAATGAGCCCAAACCCAAGGGCCCAGACCCAAAACAGACAAAAAGGGAAACCCGGTGTAAAATCAACACCCAAACGTTCCCAGAGGAACAGGAAACAGGCAGAAAACACCAAAAAAGCAAAGAAACGACAACAAAAGAATAAAACCCCTGAAAAAAAAGTGAAAACTCGCCCAAGAAGCTCGCTCGCACACCCAGGTGCATGTAAACAAACCGCAACGCCGCCCTGGTGGCTACGCCAGGAAACCGGCAGAAAAAAATGGCCGCCAGACAGAGGGCTGTGACCGACGTTAAAGATACGAAAACACACCAGCAAAAGTTGGAAGCAAGCAGACTGGATGGACGAAAAACTCCGCCCAAAAGCAGAAAACCCAGGCAGGGGCAAACCGTCCCAGAACTGCTAGCAGGCATCCCCCACAGCCCCGGGAACCAGCAACAGAGGCCCCTGGGCAAAGCCATCCTCCAAGCCCTCCGCCCTTAAAGAAAAGGAAGAGTCCATGGGAAAGGCAACAAGAAAAGGCCACTGGTAAGACCCAGAAGCCTTGGCAGGAGGAACAGGCTCGAAAAACCTCCATCCCCCAACCCGAACGGGGCAGCCCCCGAAAACCGCCTGAGTCTCAGCCCCAACTAAACCCCTCCCCGACCCCGAAACCCGCAGACGGCCCGGAGCCGGGAACAGGGAGGGAAAGGGGCGAACAGTACCTACCAAAACAGGGCGGCCCCGGGGCATCCGAGTGGGAAACCAACCTAGCGTGTTGCAGCAACCTAACCTAGCTTGCATCACGGATGCCGCTTGTACTCTGAACAGTAATAACATCAGGAGAGTTCTGGAGAACAAGCAGAGAATATCTCTTGCAAGACTCCAGGTCAAGGTGTCAGGGACCCAACAGGCAGCATGATGGAGGTAAAAGTGGCGACTGTCACCCGGAGACAAGGGCATAGCAACCAACGATCTCGTACAAGACAGGTTGGAACCCGGAAGACACATTCAATGGTCCCCCGCGCCCAGACAGGGGTTTCCAGGGCCCGTAGGCTGAGGGTTTCCAGGGCCCGTAGGCTGACTGCTACGGGAAGCCCGGGCAAGGTGTTGCTAACTGGTTAAGAAACCCAAAAATAACAAGAGTGTAGAGGAAAACACTGAAAACCCCTGCGACGTGTATAATCACAGGGGCCTAGCAGAGAGCAACCCGTTCTCGCACTTTCTTACAGTCAATATTGACTTATTAAATAAGTGCATATGTGATATACTAATTTATTGTGAATATTTTAGTTTACCTTGAAAAGCTTCATAGAAAATACCGACCTTACCTAACCTTCTTAGTATGTTAAGATAAGCATCTTATTGCTTCGTAATTACAATTATTACTTAACCTATTACAGGTATAGGTTATACCTATTATAGGTACAATTATTACTTAACCTATTATAGGTATAGGTTATACCTATTATAGGTAAAGGTTAAGTAATAATTGTAATTACGAAGCAATAAGATGCTTATCTTAACATACTAAGAAGGTTAGGTAAGGTCGGTGTTTTCTATGAAGCTTTTCAAGGTAAACTAAAATATACACAATAAATTAGTATGTCACATATGCACGTATTTAATAAGCCAATATTGACTATACGAAAGTGCGAGAACGGGTTGCAGAGAGCCACCAAACACTACCAGTGGAACTATAGCCACACTAGGCAGACCCCCACCAGGCAAATGAAAATAAAAACAAAAGAAAAACCCCGCAAAAGTACACCGTCTCCAGAGGCAACAGGAACCAGTCGCCGCTTAGGTGGCAGGTCGCGCAACACCTTGACGCCCTAACCAGCACAATACCAATCCCTACCCAGGGCCAAACAAGGGCCCCAAGCCCCAGCTGGCCCCAAGGGCGAGGCAAATGCCGAGCAGCAAGAACCTCTACGGGAATGGTTCCCGAACGCCCCAGGGAAGACAACCCTGTTATGCAGGGGCAGTACTCACAGGGCGCTTAGGGAAGTCAGCTACTAAGCGCATGCAGCCCTGGCACTGATGAGGTACTCCTGGCCACCACACAACACAACACACGGCAGTGAACACCACACAAGGCAAACACTGCCTAGGAAACCGAGGCCAGAGAAGCGTCTATTCCGGTTGACATTAGCTTACGAACTGAAGCTTGGCAGCCGGCGCGGTAGGTCCGGGGCTCCCCCCTCCCCCTCTCGGGGCGGGGAGGGCTGCGCGGACGATCGGCGCGGCAGTAAAGTGTGATGTTTGCTTGTTTGCTTGTTTCCTTGTTATTGTAGGGAGTTTCTACCTCTCTGTTCGGTTTTTTGTTTTAGTTTTTTACCATGTGGGGTTTGTTTTGTTATGCCTACCTTTCTGGGTGCCTAACCCCGGTCAATGGCAGTTAAGAAAAACCCCAACCACAAAGGGGTTTTCCAGGGCCATTGCTCCCTGAAATCTCTCTGAAGGGGGCCAGGTTCTGGCGCTGGTCCCTGGTAGGTCTGAACTCCTTAGCTAATGTCCCAGTCTAATATAACATACATTAGCCCGATAAGCTCCAGGGAGCCGTAGGGGCTTCCCACAGAAATCAACAATAGGTATAACAAGAGTTAAGCAAAACAATGGAGATGAACAGATATTCGAGTCAAAATTATTTTTAAATTAGTATAATACTCTACTTGAATTGTCATATTGGCCATCAATTAATTATATTTTTCACTAAATTTTGTTAGCAGTTGTCTAAGGTCAACACAGAAGTAACAATAGTTCAGAATATAATGGAGGGGTCTGAGGAACCATGTTCAAAATCCTGTACTGTACATGACAGTTCACATAAGATATTAACTAACCATTTCTAAGGGATCTGCATCTTCATATAGAGGTGGTACAAGCCAGAAGGAAGGAATGTCATCATCTGCAGCAGCTATTGTCCACACAACCCTCGAGGCAAACAGTGACTGTAGTGTTTCCATCTCGGGGCCCACGGGTTCACTCAGTTCTATTTGGTTTAACATGAATGAGAGGTACAAAATATCAATCACCAATGTATTCATTAACTGAACAAATTACAAAATTTAATTTAAAATGTTATTTATATATCCTTGTGTTATTTATATTTACATGAATCATGTCACCCCTTACACCGTGTCACTGTGGATTTGTTCACCCTTACTCTTTCCTTCATCTTTCTACAGTGTAAATTTACTTTTCTTAAACTCTTCATAAGGGACTAAACTAATTTAAACTTAAACAAAATTTCAGGGATCTTCTCTGTCAAACTTCACAGAATGCATTCAAATGAATTTATATTCATTCTATAATATGGTGACCAAAACTGAACTGCATAATTTCAATAAGGCTTAACAAGTGCAAGATAAAGCTGGAGAATGACTAGATCTCTTATTACTAATAATTCTAATAATAAAACCCAGTATTCTTTTTGTTGTATTCTATACATTCATGCATTTATATTTTTAGGCTAAGATACCAATTGATTATGACTCCTACATTTGCTCTGCATTCAGATTTTGCAATTTTAACAATGTTAAGCTGATATTTGGTAATATTTTTCACAAATGGCATCTGTCAATTTTTTGTGTATTTTAAAAGCCTATCCAGATAATTTTTGTTGCAATTTTGCTTTCTGAATTAATTTCTTACACTATTTTTGCATTGTTTGCAAATTTGCAAATATTGCTGATCAGTCCTGTGTCTAAACTGATTATATACAGTATATGATGCACAACAGAGGTACCAAGACAGGCTTGGGGCATGCCACTTACAATGGTTTCCCCATCCCCACTCAGAGTTAACTACTTTTATGCTAACTCTCAGCTCTCTTTGAAATAACCAGGTCTGATATTTGTTAAACATTATGGGAACACAGCCCTTACAAATGTCAAGGGACAGGATTACCTGGCTTGAAACAGAATCCTGCACCTCAAAGAAAGCAAATATTTGAGGCTGAATCAAATAGCGAAAGCATACAATTATTATTTAAAAACTGGATAAGGAAATCTCTTCCAAAGAAACAAGTGAGGAAATGAGCTTAGATAAATTGGTATACATAATGTGAAATTGATTTTTCTTACCCTTCACCTCAAATGGACAGGCTTGATCTAGCATACTGATCAACTGGGAGATATCATCATAAAGTGTTTCCATTACTTCTTCTTCGCAACATTCTGCCTGTTAAAAGAAAGAAAAATCTTGTATTCATATAGAGTACTGTACAATATTAAAAATACAAGAAGTTGCGAAGAATTAAAATAATGTCTACGCTCGATGATCTGAATTATATGGGGACTACCCCATCTGAGTTAGCCAGTCATTTGAGTTAGCTAAATATAATCTGTAAAGTCCAAAAAACCAGCGTTGAATGTAATGAAACGCCATTTTCTGGGTGAGCCCTGGAGGCTCCCTGGAGCTTATCGGGCTAATGTATGTTATATTAGACCGGGACATTAGCTAAGGGGTTCAGACCTACCAGGGACCAGCTCCAGAACCTGGCCCCTTCAGAGAGGTTTCAGGGAGCAATGGCCCTGGAAAAACCCCTTGTAGTTGGGGTTTTCCTTATCTGCCATCGACCGGGGTTTGCACCCAGAAAGGTAGGCATAACAAAACAAACCCCCACATGGTAAAACAAAAAACCAAACATAGAGGTAGAAACTCTCTACAATCCCAAGGAAACAAGCAAACATCACACTTTACTGCCGCGCCGATCGTCCGCGCAGCCCTCCCCGCCCCGAGAGGGGTAGGGGGGAGCCCCGGACCTACCGCGCCAGCTGCCTAGCATCAGTTCGGAAGATAAGCTTCAACCAACTCGAAAAAACTGCCGACCGGTGGGAAGGAGGGTTGCCAGGGAGCCTTCGGGGCTCACCCAGAAAATGGCGTTTCATTACATTCAATGCTGGTTTTCTGTGGGAAGCCCCTACGGCTCCCTGGAGCTTCATACCCAAAGAGATGGAAAAGAAAGGGCTGACTCGGGAGGCGCCCACCACAAACTCCGCAACGCGAAGCCGAGACAACAGGCTGCAACCTGCGACCCAAGGCAACGAGAACAGACAGGAGCAGACGCGCATAAAGAATGGGCAGCCAAGAACCTGTGCTACCCTCAAATCCCTGTGCCCGAAAAGACCCCTAGATGTCACCAACATAGCAGCAAAAGCTGCAAACGTCCGAACAGCACGGGCGCAAGGACAGACCGTAGGCTGGAAGACTTAAAAACTCTTAGGACGACCTGGGAGACCCGAGCCCTGAAACAGGGAACGAGGGGAACCGGATTAACCCAAAGCGCATCCCCAGACACAATACGCACCCCAGGCCGAACCAATCAAGCATCAATAGCCCAAGAACCCCTCCAGAAAGCAGCAGTCTCGATCATCGCCAGAAGGACGGAGAAAGGCTGCAAACGTACAAACCTACCGCCAGTACCAAAGAGCAGAAATCTGAACCGAAGGGGCTACCACAAGCTGAGGAGAAGATAAGAAGGCACCCTGATCAAGGACCAGTACGGCTGAGGTGACGCATGAGCACGCCGGAGGTGAAACAAAACAAGAGAAAGCATACGAAACAGTGCAGAAGTGATGTCCACCCCGAACGCAAGCAGGAGCGACTCCGCCAGCGCCAAACAAAACGAGGTGACAGTAAGAAACATCAAAACTGGAGTCCTGAAAACCCAAGAAAGGACAAGACAACCCAATCGAAAGAGAAGACAACCTACGAAGAGTAAGAAAAAGTGCATAGAAACACCAGGAACGTCATACTGTCGTTCTATGATCTATATTATCTAAGGATAATATTCAGAGGTTGAAAATGGGAAATAGATTCACGGAAAATGAAAAGGAAATGTGTGAAACATTAAACGAAAAGTTCCAAAGTGTGTTTGTACAAAATGAAATCTTCAGGGAACCAGATACAATAAGAATTCCAGAGAACAACATACAGCACATAGAGGTGTCTAGAGACGAAGTGGAAAAAATGCTCAAGGAGCTAAATAAGAACAAAGCAGTTGGTCAAGATGGAGTTTCACCATGGGTTCTGAGAGAATGTGCACCTGAGCTCAGCATTGCTCTTCAACTGATTTTTCAGGCATCCCTGTTTACAGGAGTTGTAGCTGATGTGTGGAAAAAGGTTAACATAGTTCCAATCTACAAAAGTGGAAGCAGGGAAGACCCCCTTAATTATAGACCGGTATCATTGACAAGTGTAATAGTCTAAATATTGGAAAAAATAATTAAAACTAAATGGGTAGAACACCTGGAGAGAAATGACATAATATCAGACAGACAGTATGGCCTTCGATCTGGAAGATCCTGTGTATCGAATTTACTCAGTTTCTATGATCGAGCAACAGAGATATTACAGGAAAGAGATGGTTGGGTTGACTGCATCTATCTGGACCTAAAAAAGGCTTTCGACAGAGTTCCACATAAGAGGTTGTTCTGGAAACTGGAAAATATTGGAGGAGTGACAGGTACGCTTCTAACATGGATGAAAAATTTTCTGATAGAAAAATGAGGGCTGTGATCAGAGGCAATGTATCGGACTGGAGAAATGTCACAAGTGGAGTACCACAGGGTTCAGTTCTTGCACCAGTGATGTTTATTGTCTACATAAATGATCTACCAGTTGGTATACAGAATTATATGAACATGTTTGCTGATGATGCTAAGATAATAGGAAGGATAAGAAACTTAGATGATTGTCATGCCCTTCAAGAAGACCTGGACAAAATAAGTACATGGAGCGCAACTTGGCAAATGGAATTTAATGTTAATAAATGCCATGTTATGGAATGTGGAATAGGAGAACATAGACCCCACACAACCTATATATTATGTGAGAAATCTTTAAAGAATTCTGATAAAGAAAGAGATCTAGGGGTGGTTGTAGATAGAAAACTATCACCTGAGGACCACATAAAGAATATTGTGCGAGGAGCCTATGTCACACTTTCTAACTTCAGAATTGCTTTTAAATACATGGATGGCAATATACTAATGAAATTGTTCACGACTTTTGTTAGGCCAAAGCTAGAATATGCAGCAGTTGTGTGGTGCCCATATCTTAAGAAGCACATCAACAAACTGGAAAAGGTGCAAAGACATGCTACTAAGTGGCTCCCAGAACTGAAGGGTAAGAGCTACGAGGAGAGGTTAGAGGCATTAAATATGCCAAAACTAGAAGACAGAAGAAAAAGAGGTGATATGATCACTACATACAAAATAGTAACAGGAATTGATAAAATCGATAGGGAAGATTTCCTGAGACCTGGAACTTTAAGAACAAGAGGTCATAGATATAAACTAGCTAAACACAGATGCCGAAGAAATATAAGAAAATTCACTTTTGCAAACAGAGTGGTAGACGGTTGGAACAAGTGAGGGGAGAAGGTGGTGGAGGTCAAGACCGTCAGTAGTTTCAAAGCGTATGACAAAGAGTGCTGGGAAGACGGGACACCACGAGCGTAGCTCTCATCCTGTAACTACACGTAGGTAATTACACTAAGGTAATTACTGTTGCTGAGACGAAGTTTGCAGGTGGGACACCATCAACAAAGTCACCTGATCACCACAGAGATGGTGATACCCGCATCAAAATACCAGACGCGAAGAGCCGAGGAGAAGGCTGAACCAGTCACGTACAGGACCGGACCGACCTGCCGAAAGAGGCGGAGCGCGGGAGAACGCCCCGGGTTCGGACACCTATCAAGCAGCGTCTGAAAATAAACCTGGGCCGGTCACCAAAGGACCATAACGACTACTCTCGTGGGAATGGGCTCCAACTGAGCCAGAACCCAAAGCAACAGCTGGACCGGGAGAAGAGGAACGGGTACCCCCACCTCGACTAGTCCTGCCAAAAGGCATCCACCATGAACGCCTCGCAGACGGGTAAGGGCGCCACATAGAATGGGCGACGCCTAGACCACGCCGACTCGAGGACGTCCATGGTCAGGAGGCCATACGTCTGGCATAGCCAACGAAACGAGTCGGCGATGACTGGCCAAACCGCGAACAGAGGAATGAACCGAGACAGCTTTCCGCCAGGACGCAGGACACAACCCGGACATGAACCTCACGGTAAACCAAACCTCGAGAATCCAGCAAACGAGCCATTCTAAGAGACCAACTCCAAAGGTCAAACACCTAAGAGAAACCCTGTGGTTCTGGCAAAGTACCACCAGAGAACAGTCCAAATGGAGCTGAATGGTAGAGCACCCAGTGACCCGAACCCTCCGAAGCACAAACCAGACAGCCACGAACTCCCGAACCGGGCAGTCAGCCCAACGGACGGACAGACCCCACCATCCCAGGCCGACCTGGTGAGCACTGGTCACAAAGCCCCAGCCGAGAGATGACCCGTCCGTGAACACATCGAGTGAAGGCTCGGGGAGCTGCCAAGGCACGGAACCCCGAAAACTCCAAAGAGGAAGCTGGTGACGCAGCACCAACACAAGATCCCCAGAGGAACGAACCCAACGAATGCAATTGAGGTGGAAGGGGAGTCTCCGAAGGAACCAAACAAACGCCAAATACAAACCCGACCCTTTGGGCAGACTAGCACGAAATTCAGACTCCCGCACAACTGCTCGAGCAACCACCGAGCAACCCGGGACCCCCTCATGAACAGCCGAAGGCGGGACCACAGCTGCAGCAACACTTCCGAAGGGAAAGACAAGGAGCGGCCCAAGAGCCCTAAACAAGACCCAGCCAGGTCCGAACCCGGAACGGAAACAGATGGAACGGCCTCCAGATCACCAGGAAACCGAACCCGGCAATCTGGAAAGAACCACACCCCTGGCGAGCAGACAAGCGGACCGACTGGGAGCCCACACCAGCCAGTCGTCGAGGTAGGCCAGACACCAAATCCCAAGCAGACTCAGACAGGGCACCAAGATCCGGTAAAGATGCGTAAATACACCAAGTGCCAATTCCAAAATAGGGAAGGCAACAAAAGCGGCAAGCCTGAAGCCCCACCACCAACTGTGCCAGTCCCGGAAAACTGGAGAAGAACGTGCTAAGAGTTGACCTGGAGGTCCAGGGACACCATCCAGGCACCCGGCCCCAACAGAAGCCGGACAGGAGACATCAGTCCTCCGATGAGGGCATAGAATCCAGGGCGCAGACTGAAGAATTCCAGAAGAACCGCAGAGTTGCCAGGCCCGTGTCTGCATAGAGCAGACCGAA